TCCCTAAGAGTTAGTAATATGGTAATGGTTTCTAAATGTTGCTTGTCTTTGTGTGCCTCACCATCCCTTGTTTTTGTTTTATGTTTTTTGTTTTTCTCTTTTACCCTGGATTTAACTCTGTAAGTATCCTTTCATTAAAGTCTGTTAATTTGAACTGATGTGGGTAAATTCTCTTTCCTTCCAGAACCCTAATTGCTTCAAAGTTCGTATTTCAGCCTAGACTTTTGAGAATCCCATCTTGTATATATTCTAAAAACTTTAACTCTTAATGTTCCCATAAAAAGATAAAAATTCATTTTATTTTAATGAATAAAGTAAAGCAGAGATTCACTAAAGAAATTTTAATGTTCCCAAATGAATACTGAAAACACTCACCAACTTGCTAAAATTAGTAGTTGATAGAGCATGTTTATGATTCTTAAGATCCAGAAGAGACAGAGAGGAGGTTGAAATAAGGGGTAATTATGTTTCTTAAGCATGTTTTGGGTAAAAAGGTAAAATCCAAAACTCCTGCAAGGCTTAAGCAAACTCACCATCATCATTTCTGAATTCACTTCAGTTGGAACTGATGAGAGCAAGTCAAGGATGTTAATAATGGCTCCCAGACTCCCAGGAGAAGAGCTGATTTCATTAGCCACCTTGCCTGTGCTAACAGAAAGGTTCTTCAGGTATGTAGGAAGCTTCTCATCCTGACAAGGACTCTGGATCAAAGCCTAGTAAAACAGAAGCCCAGATAAACAAACAAAAACCTATCAGTCAGTGTGGCCACCAAGTCCTGCTAATTCAAGCATGACAAAGTCTCTTACAGCTGTACTTTCCTTTTTTCACCATTCCCATTAAGTATATCCCATAAGATAATGTACTTATCTTTTAAACTACCTGTGTATGCTCATCAGAAGAGAATATGACATAAGACCTCACACACAGAAGAGGGGTAGTGAAATAGATGTCAACCTGATAACTTACTGGAAAGAAGGGAACACAAACGTAACTGCTAGACAACTAGATTAAAGCTGATTAGAACCGGTTTTGGACAGTCTGCTTGGAAGCATGTTTGCTGCTCTTGGCATTTTCTGACATCACTGGCCTGTTGATCTGTCCATTTCAATTTTCCTGGGAAATTTATGACTTATATTTCCTATCCTAGTGTAATTATTAAGAATGCCCCCTTTTGGGACCAACAGTTAGTGTAATGTCTATGTCACTGAACTCCTCTCCAAAAAATGAAAAGAAAAGAAAAAAAGAAAAAGAAAAAGAAATTAGAACATTAGAAAACAGAAAGATAAGACCATATAATCTATCATCCAAATCTAGATACTTTTTGAGATTAAAAGAGGGCATTCTT